CTTCCTTCCTTTTCCTTCCTTCCTTTTCCTTCCTTCCTTTTCTTTCCTTCCTTTTCTTTCCTTCCTTTTCCTTCCTTCCTGTTCCTTCCTTCCTTTTCCTTCCTTCCTTTTCATTCCTTCTCCTTCCTTCCTTCTCCTTCCTTCCCCTTCCTTCTTCCTTCCTTCCTTCCTTCCTTCCCCTTCCTTCCTTCCTTTTCCTTCCTTCCTTTTCCTTCCTTCCTTTTCCTTCCTTCCTTTTCCTTCCTTCCTTTTCCTTCCTTCCTTTTCCTTCCTTCCTTTTCCTTCCTTCCTTTTCCTTCCTTCCTTTTCCTTCCTTCCTTTTCCTTCCTTCCTTTTTTTCCTTCCTTCCTTCCTTCCTTTTCCTTCCTTTTCCTTCCTTTTCCTTCCTTTTCCTTCCTTCCTTTTCCTTCCTTCCTTCCTTTTCCTTCCTTTTCCTTCCTTTTCCTTCCTTTTCCTTCCTTTTCCTTCCTTTTCCTTCCTTTTCCTTCCTTTTCCTTCCTTCCTTTTCCTTCCTTCCTTCCTTCCTTCCTTCCATCCAACACATCTCCGTCGAACACTCAGTCTCGCTCCCCCGCGGCGAGTGCAACTAAACGAGAACCCAAGCATCGGAGATGCTTTTGGGAAAAAAACATAATTCTAACCCGTAACTTAGGGACCCGTAACCGACCCGTAATCTACCCATAATTTCCCGTAATCTACCCATAAAATTTTATGGGTAGAAATGGAAAAAGCCTAGGTTTTTTTAGTTTTTTTGGGCTTATCTTATGTCCTAATGATAATGATTTTAAACATATTTTAACGAAATTTGTGTGGTTTTGCAACGATTTGATACCCAAGGGATAGGTCCATGTTGGCTGAACTTTTGGCAACATGTGTCAGGTGTGGTGTCCCACCACTTGCGACAATTAGGAATCATATGCCAAGAGCTGCACAATCGAACAGAACTTTGCTGCATCACATTGCCCGGTATTCGTGAAAAGTTGTTGTTACAGCGGGATTTGCAATGCTCCGGAAACATTGTCAGTATTGACTAAACAATTAAATGCAAAACAACCAATATCATTCAAATCAGATTCTGGGTAGAATGGACAAATGAAAAATATGTAGATTCTCAGGGTATTTTGGCTTTAGGTCACCTTTAGTTGTGGACCTTGATTTTGCGAATGGCTTTTTTGCGTGCTGACACGGCACGCACCATGCTCTCGCGAACCAATTCCACCAGTGAGTTGAGCCTTGGTGTGTGTCAAGTCCTATATGATGCAAATGGACAAATCCCGTGTTTGGCATCTTACCAATCCCACAGGCAATGGAAAAGGAGCTGGCAGACCTTGAGGCTAAGCAATCCCAGGCCTGATCATCGCAATTGGTGTTAGATATTGTTAACTTATACTAGCTGGGTATGCCGTCTTTACATCTAAACAACAACACATAAAAATTAAATTGTGATGCATCCTGATTTTTGATTGGGGTTTCATTTCAAACAGTTGATTCCTTCAAGCATGGCTTCGTTTTGGAATCCCCATCCCAAGTTCAACCATGTAGGTCCCTTGAAGATTTCAGCAAAGCAGCTTGTTTGGCTTCATCAGGCCGAATCCTTGGAGAGGTTGCAGCTACAGAGCATCGTTTCTGGACTGCATGCATATATGTTGGGTTTTGGTGTTCATGTTTTTTGGAACCCTTTGTGCGTGCAGGTATTTGAAGACATATCTAGATGCCAAAAGAGAATAAACATGTTTCAACGATTGACTGGGGTTGAAGCTTACATCATATATATGCGACAGGATCCCATGAACTTGTTTCCTGAGGCTTCGCCTCAGCATGACTCCTTGGGCACCTTGGGGGATACCTTGCCGGCCACTGATACCCAAGTTGCTGAGTCGCTGGGGAAGTCTCCAACCTATGCTAGCTCTGATGGGGGTAGCAAAGCTGTTGTGTCACCCACTTCACCTGTACCATCATCTGCTTCGAATGGTGATGATGCTGTCCCTGGGGTTGAGCTTAACTGGATACTGTTTTCAAAAGTCAACATGTTGGCAATTCTCGCCATACCTTTCCTGTTAGGGATCAAACCTGTTACCTTCTAGCGAAACTGGGCACCCAAGAAAATATCCTTGAAAGCATTGGCATTAATTACTTACGATAGAGGTGCTGGTTTCTAATCCAAGGTTCCTCCAATCCTCACCATTGCAAGGTAAGAGCCAGAGTGCATGAGCTGCTTGCAAGTGGCCAGATTGATGACAGTGTGGCAGCGAAGCTCCTTGGGGAAGGTGACCGACCCACTGCAGGTGGCCAAAAGAAGCCCATTGCTGAGGTGGCCCAACAGTAGTTCCCACTTCAATTGATGATTCCCCGGTGAATGAGGCCGAACTTGATGATTTCATCGAATCAGCCAAAAAGGCCAAGACTGATACTTGATCCGTTCAACAATCATGAGCATGTTGCTTTTGATATTTACCAATTACTTTCATTTTCTCCCAGTGATAAAAAAAATTGGATGCGTAATAATAACAAATCTGAATACACCCGAACATATTTGATTTGGGATGCCTTATTTGGTCTTCAAACATTGATGGAATTCCACATGGGATGTTCCGACATGTTCCGGCCAACAAAGGACAACACGCTTTGAAGGCACGATTGCGAAGGCTGTGCGAACCAAAGAAAGGGGGTCGCCTACAAGTACCCCAGTGGTTGCATGACATGTGGAAGCCGGGTGACCATCTGAAACTCGTGCAAGAGTTTCAATCTTGCAATTTCAACAAGGAGACCATCGACAAAAATGTTTGGTTTTAAGATGTTTTAGGTTTTAACAACCATGCCAAGAATCGAAACCCTGGCATACTCCAGCACATCTCCAACTTCCAGCCCCTTGTCGAAGCTGTTGTTCTGGATCCAGTCAGCGCCTGTTCTTGCAGGATCGGTTCATTCAGTACAAGACCAAAACCCTGACCAAGAGCGAGACGAATGCGAATGTCATCTCTAGTGGTTGGTATACCAAGGAAGATATGGTGAAAATATTGAAGTGGCCTGCGTTCCCTGCATGCAATCATTTGTATTTGGTTATCTTCACAAGTATAGCATGGTATCAACATGTATTCATCTGGCCGGTGGAGTTGTAATTGTTGATGGATTCCTGCAACTTTAGATTGAAAAAATATACTTGATCGATATGAAAACCATGTATGTCGATCCATCCTTCACCTTCCCCGAACACACAGGAAAAAATCACTGGTGCAATCAAGCTGTGCGAGCAAGATCCTGAAAAACTCATCAGGCCTTTCGATATCTTTCAATGGAGTTGATCCTCAGGGCCGGTGTTGGTAAACCCCAATATTTATTCCGATTGCATCTTCCTCTCCATGCCATCAAGTCAGTACCTTTTTCAAGAATTATTGAAAGACGACTCAATTTGGAAACTTTGTTTGCATCTTCATGTTCATCATATTCTTCCGTGTGAAAGAAAATGTCACTGCATGAACTAGCTTCCCCTAAAACAGTTTATTTTTTGATCTTGCCCGCAGGCGATGCCAATATGGCGGTGATGATGAGTACCGTGTGACTGTCCGGGAAACGGGCACCAACGAGCAGCAGCAGAAAGCCTCTGAAGAAACGACTGAACAAACACAGGACAGCCCCCCTATCCCTTGTGTGCCAAGTGTCATGTGCCACCATTAGGTCTTCATCCTCACAAACCCAGACTCGTCCCAATCCACGTGTGACCCGCCACAGGGGTCAAATGGACCAAAGCTTGCTGATGTCAAGCTGGGCAGAGTTGATGCTGATGCAGCACGAGATGCTGCAGCCCGGAGTGCCCAATGTACAGCTACGAGCGAGGTGTGGGAAATTACATGCCCATGGTGCACGATTGAATGATTATATTCTTATGTGTTTGTTCAGGTGCATTGTTCCAGATCGGGATGTATGAGAAACAATAGATAATGCAAGAACATGTGACCATGCACACACACATATGACAATGTAACAAAAATAATATTCTTTAAGGATTCGAACTTTAGTGGTCTCGGTGTCTGTTGTACCATAAAAACATTGCCCTCGGATTTTTGATCTTGGAAGGCATTGAGGTCACAAGACCTTGTCGCCAAACATACGGAGTCTGTGCTGTCCAAGACGTCCAAGATTCGATCGCTGATCGCCGACTTGCGATGAAGCTACTAGTCTTAATACTATATAGTTCACAACTTCATGAAAAATATGGCAGCTTCAAAATGCATTTTAAAGATTCCATGTGCCCAGATCCCATGCCTCCAGTGCAGCATTGCCCATCCAAGCTTGCATGTCCGAGGGCTGTGGAAACTCTGAAAGATGACCTCAAAGTCTTGGACTCGGAGTACAACAAGTTGTCGGAGCAATTGGCCAAGGGAGAACGGGATGATCATTCCAAGGAGCAACTTTGTTTGCACATTGTTTTTTATGTCGATGTATCTGCATTCCTAACACTTAAATATTGTTTGATGTTTATGACTGATCGTAAAAACTTTTCAATCGATAAATCGGAACATATACCATAGACGAGAGTATATATCATGTATATACAGCCAATATCCCAGGTGGTCTGCAGAGTCTGAGAAGATCCTGAAACTGTCCACCTTTACGTGCCTTGCTGGTTTGAAACTTTTAGTGATCAAGAACTATCAGTTCACCATCGCAAATGATTCATTTTCGAAAAGCAGATTGTTTCAATGGAATCCATTTTGCACCAGGTGCACCAAAGTGGCCGCGACCGAAGCCAAGATTCGGTCAGGGCCCCAAGGAGTATAGCAAGCCAGTGATGCAGCAGGCAAAGCAAATCCTGGGACAAGTTGTCAAGCCATGAACATTTTATCATTTTGAAATTGTATTCCAACACCCAACAGTGTGATGGATCCCCATGTTGTTACCCTGTACATCCCTGTACCCTAGGTCCGCAACGCGGCACTTCAAGAAGGTGGTGGTCAAGGATGAGGAGCAATCCAAAAAGTGATCATCGGTCCATGTGAGTCTCATGGGCCCTGGGGCGCTGATACTTCATTGGCTGGATTTGTCAGCAAGACATTCCAAACATATTTACATTTAGTTTGGTCATTGCGTTACCTAGATGCAATGCAAAATTTGATGGCAATCCGAATATCTTTCAGGCTTTTGGTGAATGGGGTGCCACATGGAAAAAATAAAGCCACCATAAAATTGGTTGATGTATATGTTTTTGATGTATCTTCTGTGTTTGAACAATGTGTTCGTGCTTGGCTTCACTTTCAAAGTGCCAGTGTGAGACGCACCATTCAAGACACCAATTGCAGTTTCAACTTGACATCAAACATCAAGAACCTGCGACTTGGGGTTAAAAAAAGTCAATGCGTGCATGCAACATGCACTCCAGTGCCAACACATATTGCATCCTGCGTTTGGCCCGCACCAAATTACGATGCCAGGTCGCATTGGCAAGTCAGCCAAGCGCTTCGCGGCCAATGTTGGTGAAGGAGCCATGTGCTCAGAAACTCACAGCGCTGGCATGGCAAACGAGTGGGCTGAAAACACAAGTTAGTCAGTTAGTGTTGTGACTGCAGTATATACGGGCTCTGGTTGATCAATTAGGACATTAGGACCAAGTGATGTTTTAGGCCAAAAAAAAATCACACTCCAACCCTGTATCAGGATATAGCGGAAACGACCCAAATATGTTCATATTTATTTTGATCATATGTATGCAGATCCATATTTCCCAAAACTATAGGTAAAACTATGACATTTTTGCTTTTTTACTATCCAATAGCAGGAATACATCAGAAAACCGGAACCATTGCCATGCATCTCTGAAGCTTGCAGCTTACTTGATGGCTGTGCCATGGATGACTCGGATGACTTTCTGGTTGAACTGCTTAGCTGCCATAGATCTGACTCTTGTCACCAAAGGGTCTTGGGCTTTGGGCTGTTTGAGTAATGGGATTGCAGGTGTATCACATGTGGATTAAAGTTGCATGCAAAGAATCCAACTTAACATATATATACAGTATATATATATATATATAATTGCAAACACATTCCTAAGGCTGATTTGGGGCCATATGCTTGGCAATCGGTGAAGCGTGTGAGATCGGAGGCCAAGATCACCGCGCACCATCATTCTGAACACCATCACTTGCCCTTGGAGGATACTCGTGTCCATGCACAACATCGCCGGAACCCTGATGGTCAACGCAAGACTTGGGAGGATCGGTATTTACTTTATCCTGACTTAAAGATTCTCGCGAGGTCTCAGGATTGTTTCCGGAAAATTGAAATGGACCATTGGTTATCATTGGCACTCCCAAAGCCGGGTTCCACTCCAGGCAGTGTTTTGAACCATTGTATCAAAACAATCGAGAAACTTTATGCTGAAAAGAAACCTATGACATTCAAAATCGGCTTTACCCATGATCCTGCAGTTCGATGGCACAATTCTGTCTTTGGCTACAAGGGATCAAAGGACCCATTCGACTACATGATAGTTTTGTCTGGGGCTGCAAATCCACATGGACCAGCTTTCTTAGAAGCTGCGCTGATCAACCATTTTGGGGGTTACTTGTTTGCATCCATGTGTTTGATTGTTTTGAAGTTGGTTATTTTATTTATTTTCTGATTTTTCCAAATTTGGCTTGTACTGTTTTGGGTGTGTGTCTGTGTGCGCACTTGTCCAAACGGTGGAATTGTTCAAGTACCGGACACGGGATATCGGTTTGACTTTATTGTTCGCTTAGTCGCTAGTGGAACTTAGGTTTGCAAGGCTGTAAGAACGAGCGGCGTGGAGGAGACACAGTGAAAGAAATCGACAATGGACCATACTTGACATATGTGGTGTACAAATCATGGCAAAAGCCAAGCATGCAAGTGCGAAGCACAGTTAAGGCGAATGACAAAAGTCAAAGTATCATGTGATATGTCATGTGCTGAATTCATGCAAAGATATATGCAAAATTCTAGATGGCTGCTGGCATGAAGTTCACACTTCGTTCCTGGCATAGCAGCCAACAAATGGTAATTTAGCGCACTGTTTGAGCCCGATGCGTGTGCAAAAGACTTTGCACTTTTTGAGCTTGTGTGCATGGACTACATGTGATTTTCCAACACATTCGTTTGTGTTCTGAAGACTTTCAACCACAGTATATGTTCAACAAGTTTTGAGCCGAGGAAGAAACAATGCAATGCGAAGAAAACAGTTAAGGCCAATTTGACTTTCATACTTCAGTTTCCTCTGAGGCCAGCTGCAAGAGCCAAATCCTCACTGCCCAAGCTGTGGCCCATGACGTTGGGCAAGAGACGGCGGCCAGAATTGGGGTGCAGCAGTGGGCACGGTGTAGCGAAAGAAACTCTGAAAGAGATGTTCAAAAAATAGTTAGTTAAGAGACAAAGAACACAGCTGGACATTCCGATTCACAACATATCCTGTGATGGGACTGACCTACCATGGGTTTCTCCGGAGTCATGGCTTCAATTCATTGTCAGAAATGGGATGTGGCCGGTGATGGCTGGATGTTGCTTGCATGACGACGAAGGGGCCAGACGTAAGTGGGAACAATTTTGGACCACCTACAAAGAAATTCACCCTGGGTTTAGTCTCTTCGATGATGACAGTGTGGACTTATCTAGATGTGCTGCATTTTTCATACACGGTGATGAGGGACGAACCCTCAAGAAGGGAGGTATGTTGGTGACTAGTTTGCAGAGCGCTTTGGGTCGTGGATACGATGAAAAGCGTGTGAGAAGACCGGGGGAAGGTGGCCGTGATGATCTCCAAGTGAACTTTGCTGGCCATTCCTTTACAACACGGTTTATCCTCAGTGCTATCCCAAAGACTGCTTACGATCTTCAACCCAACTTGTTTCATGATGACACCGGCCATGTTGCCAAATCTTGTCGGAGGTTGCTGGACTATGGGTATGTTGACCCTACGAGGGGTGGCGAGACCTTTCGTATTTGCATCCTGGGGGCGAAAGGAGACGCACCATACCTTCCAAAAGTTGGTCATTTTTATCGGAGCTACAACACCACCGCAAAACGTGGACAGGAACATGGACCTCCCAAGGGTGTTTGTCCATACTGCTTGGCGGGTACAAATTTATGTGCTGCTGAAGAAATTGCAACAACTACCCCAAGATGGCTTTCAACTGTGGCTGTCAAGCTACCATGGGTCAGGGAGCCACCCTTGATCACACACCTAGTACACGACAGACATGACCCAGCTTCATTCTTCAAGAGTGACATCTGGCATGTGTTTCACTTGGGCTTCGGGCGTTCCTGGATTGCAAGTCTTGTGCAACTGATTCTTCCACAACTTCCATTGCCGAATCTTGATGAAAAAAGGGATAAGCAGAAAAAAACAAAAAAAAACTGCACCCAAGAGATGGTGTTTATTGTCAGAAACTTGCAATTGCACAGAGAAGGATTGCAATTACACAAAGAAGGAATGCAACTGCATAGAGACAAACCATCTATCAAACCCAGAAGAAACAAATCCAAGTCTCTGAAATCTATGTTTTTTGGGGCGCAAGGAAATTTAAGTGTTTAGTTTTGATCTCAGCAAATTTGTTTCAACTTATGTTTTTGCTCTGACATCTTCATTTTCTCTTAGTTGACAATAGTTGTGATAACGTGTGTGAGTTCTTGATATTTTTCCTCATGAATATTTCAAAAAAATTGGATGGAATCCTCAAAAACCTTTGGTGGGTTTTGAAGATCTACTAAAAAAAACTTATGGAAACACTCTTGCACTTTTCATATCCTCTTGATCCAGTTTTGTGGCTGCAAGCATTCAAGAATTTGCCATTAAATTTTGGAGAAATTTAGATGAACTATATCAAAATTGGTTATACACTTTTGATGCACTTTTGATGCACTTTTGATGCACTTTTAATACATTTTGATGCACTTTGATGCACTTTTGAAAAGTGCATCAAAAGTGCACCAAAAGTGTACCAAAAGTGCATCAACAGTGCATCAAAAATGCATCAAAAGTGCATCAAAAATGCATCAAAAATGCATCGAAATGTTATAAGAATTTGGTTTGGAAAGTAACTATTTTTGATCAAACTTAAAAAAAGAAAGAGCATGCAGTCAGCTTCAAGTAAAGTTCACTGGATGCAATCTCAGATAGGGTTTGTGGAGTGCAGCCAGAAAGCGCATCAAAAGTGCATCAAACATGTATCTAAAGCGCATCAGGAATCCATGAGACTTTCTTTGAATCAGACAGAAGACACTATACACTGATGTTCTTGTAAGATCGCACTAGCCAAGGGATCATGGGAACAGTTCTCACATAAAGTTCACTGGAGGTGATCCCAAGATCATCCGCAACAACTGTACATGCATCTTAATTCTTAATGAAATAAGCTTCACAGCAACTCCTCACAAAATGAGCACAGGGATTTATTCTCGTGCAATGTGTTTTTGAAAACAAAACAATGATATATAATTGAGAACTCTTTACCTTTGGCGTGGACATGAAAGCTAAAATGGAGCAGCGTGCTCTTAAACCGTTTCTCCTGCAAGACTGCGCAGGTTTTGGTCTCGGCAGATCCAATCGACCATGCCAACGTGTGATCCATGGGCAAACCAGTTGCAGGCGTAAATCAAATCAGGAAAAGAATGGTGAATGGTGTTTGTCAGTGATACATTTGGTTTGATTTTTTCTTTTTGCATACATGTTTTTGATAAGTCCATTGTTCAATGGCGCAACCTGCAGGCCTAAACTTGGATGATGCCCCTGAGACGTTCCAAAAACTCGAGGCGCCTTAACCATGGACGTTTAAGTTGACTGTTTCACCCGACGTCTCTTCTGGGCTGGCGCCCCATCCCCATCACCCTGGACCGGGATCAGGGGCTCTGGAGGCTTAACTCTCTTCGGCTCGTATCGAATCAAAACATCCATGGCCTTCAGTGCACAAGTGTTTCGCATGATCGGAACTCCACAGGGGGATCTGGTTGGAGTGTGGATCTCCATGTTGCAATCCTTCTGTTTGTCAGAAGTGCGCACGCACCAGCAAGGTGACAAAACTGACTTGGAAAAATCACCCTCATTTGGAGGAACTATGCAGTGCGAAAGGTGCAAAGGGATCCCATCTTGCGGTGCCAAACCAACACCCTGAATAGGTCTTATCGGGGATTGTCTCCTCAATCTTTGTTGTGCATGGGATTAGAACCAACTTACCCTTCGCAAAACTTTGGGTGGCAACCACATCTCTGGGTCTGAAGGTTATCTTCAAATTCGTGCACTGAGGCATGCTTGGCCTCGAGCTCAGTCAACTTGGTCATGATCTCACCCTTGATCTGCATCATCTTCGCTTCCTTCTGATTGATGACCAAGTGGGGCCCGTAGCCCTCGATCTCCACTGTCTCGGATCCCTTCTCTTTCATAAGCTTCCAATCTCCCCGCAGAAGACTCTTGGCCATGAGCTGGAACTTGGACCCATCTTCCATCTCAATTGTCGCATGGTCGTCTCCCTTCATGTCGGTGACCCTGGCTTTCAACTTGTCCACCTTCCTCATGATCATGCTTCCCTCTTTGAAACCCAGCTCACCTGCCATTTTCGTGTTGGTGATCTTGCCCTGGGCATCAAAGCTTCGAATCCTTGGCAGCTATATAGGGTACTCACACATGTACGTGATAAGAAAGAAAGACGGGATTGATGTCTTCCCTGTCTGGTGAGTTTTGGGATTTCTTTACAAAAACTAGGTATACTGAACTGTTCAACCGTGACTCGAAACCTGTTGATCCATGTGCTGTGCTTGTCTGTGGAGCCAGCAGCCACACTACCAGGAGAAGGAGCAGGATTTGGCCTGTATGCCTCATACTTCATGGTGAGGGTCACCTTGGTCTCATCCTTGATTGAACCCACTGCGATCTGAAAGTGAGCCTCCGGTACCATGATGAAGGCATCTCCATGCTTGGGACGTTTGTCCATGGCTATCAGCACTATTCGGTCTTCAAATTGATGCTGAATTTCTCCGGAATTCAGCTTCTGCTCATCGTTGAGTTGCTTGTCCATGAGAGAGCATAGCTCTTCAATGAGTTCCTGGCTCTTGCCGGACTTTGTGGGGTTTCCCAGCATTTTCCTGACATCGGCACGTGTCAAAGACGTGCCACAGCAGTATGCTGCGCTGACGGCACAATGACGAAGTACAAGCAACACTTCACCAGCCGTCTTTCCGTCCTTAGACACTGACTGCCAGAAGTCAGTTCCAAGAGCCTTGGAAGCTGCGAGTGTCTTCATGACCCTCTTGTCGGTTTTGTTCAGGTCGTCCCGGTTCATGAACTTGGTCAGAAACTGGAACATGTAAGGGCATGCGTCACTGCAGTCCGGTTTTGTCTTCAAAATCGACTTCTTCACTTCATTCCATGAGACCTGGGCCTTCTGCCCGATCCACGTGATCATCCTCTTCAGGATCTGAAACTCTGATTCCTTTTTGAAGACGTTCGTGTTCTGACCTGCTTGCAGCACATCTGCAACCGCAGGAAACTCAGTGATCACATCGTTGGAGATAACAGCCCATGTGAACCCATTCCTGCAGGCATTGGCATAGCCCATGTCGGCCTTCTCCACTAAGTTGATGTTGAAGCAACCACCGACTGCGAGTTTGGACCCTTTGTGGTTATGCGGCGTACCATGTAGGACGCACCGCATGCCTGCAACAGTGTGGGATCCTGCCAAGCTGGCATAGCGAGCCCTCGTCTCATCAGGCTCTGGAAGGAGACCCATGCTGCTGGCTGCAAGCCGACGATTGAATTCATTGGTCGCATGGTGCCGGATACCTACGTCGACGGCAATCCCATGGCACTTGCCGTCGGACCAGCCGGTTTCTACTATGTCTTCCACTGCACATCGGTCACAAGCACGTCCCGGTTGGATGGATGGACTGTCACCCTAAGTCTCGAAAGCTAGTAATTTTACTAATCCAGAAGATTTTACGTAATTTTTTTGGTTGATTTTTGCAAAATTAGTAAAATGTTAAAAAAGGAAAAGTGCATCAAAAGTGCATCAAGAATGAGCCCGAAGATGTGTGATAGTTTTTCGAAATTCCTTGAACTTGATACAGGAGGCAGAAGCAGGAATGTCCAAATATTGTTGAGGAATGTGAAGAAATTAGCATGTGGAACCTGTAAAAGGATATGTCCTTTGCTGCAAAATGTACATACTATGAATCTATGAAAGGAAAATAAAATTTCCCCCAGTGACTTCTCAAGTAAAAGTAAATGTTCTGAAGTAAAATCATCTTCCTATAGCAAGCGATTTCTGAAGAAAAAGATGTTATGAAATAAAGTCAATGTAATACATATTGAAGGTATGTACTTGACATTCATTGATTTGGCTCGTTGGCTTTTGCGGTTTCTTGGCTTTTGTAATTTTTTACTTCTGAATTTATATGCATGTTTTTGTGAGAGGAATTGACATATGTTTTCAAAATGTCCCAGCTAGCCCTTTTTTGAGCTCTGAAAACAGTATTTCAGGACACTTGACGGACACGTGTTGAAATCTATTCTCCCACTATATCTACTTGATTTGTGCTTCACCACGTTTTCCACGACTGTCACGGTTCTGCGCCTCAACCTACGTTCCATATATATGGTCACAAGATGCCTGTTGCCCAGTATATACACAGATTCATTTTTTTTTGCGGGGGGGGCACTGCATCCTCCCCCAATCCCGCCTCCTTCCGGTTTTTTATGTGAATCCAAATTTTGCATACTTGTAAATATATTGTTCCACATTTTTTAAACATATATAATCATGTATGTATATATATATATAGTTAAATATACATGGCTTTACATCTATAGTTATATATACATGTCATTTAGTTATATATACATAAAGTTTTAAGTAATTATTTATAGATAGCTTTATATTCATAGTTATATATATATATATACATATAGTTTTGTATACAGATTTTTTATTTTAACATATAGTTATATATATAAATATATATTGTTAACTAATGATATATATATATATATAAATATATACACATATATATATATATATACATATATACATATACATATATATATATATATATACATATTTGGATTTACAACTAAATATTTACAGTTACTTTTGTGTACAGCGTGTATCCCTAAAAAAAACCTTGGAAAGCCATGCAAAAATCAATGAACACATGCAAAATTTAATGAACACCATGGCAGCATCAATAAAATCCATGCAAAATCACTTAAAACATGTAAAAATCAGTCAACACCATCTAAAAGTTAATGGACGTCGTGGAAAAAACAATGAACATCTTCTAAAAATACATCAAGACAATTCACAAATCCATGAACACTGTGGAAAAATGAAGGAAGACCGTGTAAAGTTCAGCCAAAAGCATCAAAAAAACATGAACAACATGGCAAAATCAATGAAAACCTTAAAAACAACCGGGCACAACGTGCATGAGAGATTTTACTTCCACTACTCAGCAAATTGCATGTTTTAGCTCCAAAACGCAGCAAATAGCAAGGGAAAGTGCCCCAGACTGAAAGCAGAAAAAACAACAAAAACTGCACCCAAGAGATGGTGTTTATTGTCAGAAACTTGCAATTGCACAGAGAAGGATTGCAATTACACAAAGAAGGAATGCAACTGCATAGAGACAAACCATCTATCAAACCCAGAAGAAACAAATCCAAGTCTCTGAAATCTATGTTTTTTGGGGCGCAAGGAAATTTAAGTGTTTAGTTTTGATCTCAGCAAATTTGTTTCAACTTATGTTTTTGCTCTGACATCTTCATTTTCTCTTAGTTGACAATAGTTGTGATAACGTGTGTGAGTTCTTGATATTTTTCCTCATGAATATTTCAAAAAATTTGGATGGAATCCTCAAAAACCTTTGGTGGGTTTTGAAGATTTACTAAAAAAAACTTATGGAAACACTCTTGCACTTTTCATATCCTCTTGATCCAGTTTTGTGGCTGCAAGCATTCAAGAATTTGCCATTAAATTTTGGAGAAATTTAGATGAACTATATCAAAATTGGTTATACACTTTTGATGCACTTTTGATGCACTTTTTGATGCACTTTTAATACATTTTGATGCACTTTGATGCACTTTTGAAAAGTGCATCAAAAGTGCACCAAAAGTGTACCAAAAGTGCATCAACAGTGCATCAAAAATGCATCAAAAGTGCATCAAAAATGCATCAAAAATGCATCGAAATGTTATAAGAATTTGGTTTGGAAAGTAACTATTTTTGATCAAACTTAAAAAAAGAAAGAGCATGCAGTCAGCTTCAAGTAAAGTTCACTGGATGCAATCTCAGATAGGGTTTGTGGAGTGCAGCCAGAAAGCGCATCAAAAGTGCATCAAACATGTATCTAAAGCGCATCAGGAATCCATGAGACTTTCTTTGAATCAGACAGAAGACACTATACACTGATGTTCTTGTAAGATCGCACTAGCCAAGGGATCATGGGAACAGTTCTCACATAAAGTTCACTGGAGGTGATCCCAAGATCATCCTGAGCACTCTTCAGTGAAATTATCCGCAAGTAAAGTTCATTGACATTATTTTAAAGCAAGGTTCATTTGTATAACTGAATCTCAAGTAAAGTTCTTTTTGAACCGGGTCCCAAGTAGAGCCCAAGATAATCTCAAGTAACATCCAACTTGAACCAGGTCCAAAGTAAAACCCAATATGAAATTCATTCTGAATTGTATCTCAAGTAAAGCCCTTGCAAAAAGTATCTCTAAAGCCCATTGAGCTAGAACTCAAGTAAAATTGATTAAATATATCCTGAGCGAAAATTTAGTGAAACATTCTAGAGTAAAACTGTTTGCTAAAGCGGATCACTTGACAAGTAAAGCAGATATAATTCACATATGTTTTTCTCTAGTAAAGTCATGGTTAGCATTTGGTACCAGCAAGTCCTTTTTCAATCATTGGATTTTATAAAATTGGTTTTGCTGATATATCATCCAAATTGTTGGAGGACAGTCGTTATCTTTCAAGTGAGGTCAAACATGCAACATCTTGCAATGAAATCATTAAAAAAAATTAGAATCATTGGGTGATTCAGTTCACAAAATATTAAATACATAATTCAATGCATTTGTCAAAAGGCATTTAGCCGATGTGATGAGTTCCAATTGTTTCTGCACTGTGCTGTTCCCAAAAAGAACGCAACTGTTTGGAATCAGGGTTCTGGAATTTCACCCAATAATTGTGTGGACCATGTTACAATGTTTGGAAAAAATGCCTGCCATTTCAATATACGAAATTATACATTTTTTGTGTGAACAGACGTTGCTAACAACAGTTTAGCGCAAATTATCTCAAGTTTGTGCACTCTTGGCCGTTTTCAGTATGCACCATTGCGAGCCTTCATTCTAAACAATGTTGTTAGGTACCTATTGTCTCATGTAAAGGTCTGTGTAAAATCCTACCGGGGAATACCTCCAAATAGAATACATAGATGATGCCTACAAATAGCATATTATATATAACTTAATCATGGCAAGTAGGTAAAATTTACCGGTGTTGCTTCGCAATGTTTTGCAAAAACCCAAACAAAAGCAAAACATAAACAAACCAATCATATATCCAGCAGCAACACTGGTAATCCCAAGTAAAGTCACAAGCAATATATATATATATATATTGTAGATACAGTTAGATACATGATTTCACACAAAAACCAAATAAAATCTCAAGCATAGTCTCGCGCAAGTATCAAAGACACTTCAAATAAAGTCTCAAGTAGTCTCCAGTGCAATCTCAAGTAAAGTAACTCATAAACACTCTACTACAGAAACAGCAACATATCGATTGAAACCCTCCAGCGGAAAGACCCCATTCATAGCCAAATCATCACAATCCACAACCACACACATCAAAAAAAAACAAAACCCATCAAAAAATATGCACAAAACAAACATATTTTTCATCATGCATTAAAACATGCAAAATTTTACTAACATTAGTAAAATCAATTGCGAACATTAGTAAAAATTTACTAGCATTAGTAAATTTTACTAACGTTAGTAAAATTTTACGCAAAATAACGTTAGTAAAACAGTCGATTTTACGTAAACTTCAGGGCGAGTAAAATTACTAACTTTCGAGACTTAGGGCACTTGGTCAGGCATCAGCACTTGATGTCTGACATACCCTGCTTCCATCATGAGGTTCATGAGCTTCTGAGACAATGCCACGATTTGGCCACCCGCCGTCTGGTCAATGAGCTCTTGGATTTTGTCCCGCAAATGGGAAGGCAACCCCATGCTTGGCCAGTTGAACTTATGGATTGTAAAGCGTTACAATTTAGAACATGTATATATGGAGATATTTGCATGTCTATATGTAGATATTCACATGTACATTTTTCATGGATAAAAAAAGTCCTGCATTGCTGCGAGCCTCTGAAGGCTCTGGAGTGAGCCAACAAATTTACACAAAACATGTGTGGCCCTGTTGAGGACAACGGGCATGACCTTGTTGACAACGGGCACATCCCTGTTCACAAACACATGCATGCTGTAGTGAAACTTGAGGCCGGGGGTGGATGACGAAAGCTAGCGGGGTAGGAGAAAGAAGGAAGGGAAGAGGTGAGTTGCGGAGGGACTGTCATCATCGTGTCGCGGCATTGTTCGTCCCAACGAGGATGCAACAATAATATATGATATATGATATATAACAATGATATATATGGGGGAGGGGGCAGGGGGGGGCCCTTTCGCGTGAAAAATCACGTGATGTCC